CTTCTCCCAGCTTTCGCGCCATTCATGCGAATACCGCTTCTTGGCCAACATATTCACCACTTCCAACTCGTATCCCCACTGTCTTGCATATTCTTGCTTATTTCGGATGCTGTTGCGCTCCACCGCCCACTCGCGGGCTCCCTTTAATTCCATCACGCCGCCCTCTACATTGGATTCGAGGATGATTACAAATTTGCTTCCGCCGCCAAACGATGATCGTCGATAGCGCTCGATGAAAGCTACCGAAAGGAGTCAGTCCGTGCAATATCCTCGCAAAGCTCACCAGGACCAACTTACATGTCCAAAAGACCAAATATCCAACCAGGACCAGAATCAGGGCAATCAACAACCGTAGCCGTCTGCGGCGCAACATGGTTCTGCCGAATCCACAGGAACGCCAGCCTCCCCCCGATGAGAATGGTCGGCCGCGTCCAAAATCGTCTTTATCAATATAGCCATTCGGCGACCTGGCGCTCACACGAAAACTCGGCAGGGTGGCCGAGATGCGACGTTTCGACCGAGAAAAGAAACCATTATTCCTCGTAGAAAAAGACGGATACCCTCGAACCTCGTCGCTCTTCGCTTTGGCGGCGGCCCACGAGATCCCGCTAGGACCTAACGGGTTCGGCGACAAAAAGCCACTGTGTGGTGTCGAACTGCCACTGCCTGTCGTGAGGCCCGGACTGGACCACCCTCCGCCCGCCGGGTGGGGTGAGGGTGACCGAGAAAGGGACATGAGCGGGGATTTTGAGTTCCCGGGGATGTCGGGAGGAAGGAACAAAGGCGCACGGGCACAATTGCCCGTGAAGCGACAGGATCAATGAGCAATTGTGGTGGTGAGGTTCACATTCGACGACGTCGAATGATATCGCGAGATGGACGTTGAGGGAGCGTCACCAGGACGCGACTCTTCGAGAGGCTGGGAATTCGAAGATGAAGAGAAAAACCGAATGAGGTGTGGCACTGAGATCAAATAGAAAGCTGTTCAGACGAGAGGGAAAACAGCAAGTCGGAAAAGTGAGACCTCAAAGTTGAGTTTGGATCAAAAAAGACGGAATAGGAATAGTTGACAACGGGGGCGTTCGTATCGCCAAGTGGTACCCTATCTCACGGATCCGAAATTAAACAGAAGGAGAGGTAAAATAAGAACAACGAAAATACAAATAAAAAAGGAGAGGAAAAAGTATCCGTGAACAGAATGACCCGTTTCCGTCCAATGGACAAATGAAGATTCAACCCAGTGGAACTGAATGAAAGGGAACCAACAAAAGGACCACCTGAACGGGGAAGTTCCTGGGTAAATGGATGGATCCAAGCGTTGATAACTAGGAACAAGCCGAACAACTCGAGTCAGGACATCATGCGCCGGATGGAGTAGGAGAAAAGAAGAGGACGAGCGCTACCTCCCCATCCATGGGAAATGAAGTTGGCGATAGGTTTCACTTCTCCTCTTTGACGACTGCAACATCACTATGCGCAGAGGACAAGCAAATTAAATCGAAATTTGACAGCGTCTGGACGGGCCAATGTGGTTTGGTGGTGGAGAGAACGAGAAATTGTCCTCATTTCGCTTTGGTCACTGGATCCGCATGTCACCCCACCAGTTGGTCTTTCTTGGCAGGGACTTTACCGTAACTATAGTACGGAGAGTACTAGTACTAGTCAGTATACAATACATAGTCCGCCGTGCTCCGTACCGACCATGTATTATTTATTCCCCATAATTATAGGACTGCACGCAACCGGCCACAGCCAAGGCCCAGAACTCCAGATCTTCTCTCAACGACATTCCTCAAATCAAGGTCATCGGGGTCTGGAATCACCTCATCCCGATCACGACAACGATAACACGCGTTCTGTCTTGATTCTAGTCTTGAATAACGGATACTGAGCTCTGTACGTTCTAGCTCCACCACTGCAAGATCAAGAAACGCTCAGCGAAGATTCTAAGAGTTAATGGCGAATAACGGCATCATAACTCTTGATAGCACTGCTACATGACTTAGTCAGTGATGTACAACTTTGTTTCCATGGTTTATTTCTATATGGTCGCTTTCAAGTATACATTCTTCCGCCAAACCCTAAGGAGACACAGCTGCATACAGCTTCTCCATTCACAGGATACCCAAATAGATACTGACAGACAGACATATCTACATTCATCAACAAAGATATAACTACGTCGTCATCACCTCACATTCCATTCAAATTTAGGTCCAGCCCCAACCCCCTCAGCTACATCCTCGGCCTCGGCGTCGTCCCAAAACCCTACAAGAACCCATGCATCCCGACCGCCACCATTCCCCAGAACACATGGGTAACGTAAACCAGCCTCCCGACTCAGAGGATCCGGCCGAAACCTGTTAAATCACATACCCGCCGCCAGAATCCGGGTCTTGAGGTTACAAATAGTCAGCACATCTCCATGCCAAGCCCGGATGAAACCAAAGGTAGGAGTAGTAATCGGCCTTTGGGCCCACATATAATCTGATGTCGTGAGTCGTGACATGTCTATTGCCCCCAGTCGAGGCCGCTCTCTGGTCCACGCAGGGTCGTCATCCTTCAGGGAATTGTACACTTCGGCGATGGATGTGGCGGGACTGAGAATCGGCATCGTGTTTCCGAATGTCGGATTTGCTGAATGCGACCTGAGGATGCCCGCTTAGCGGTAATGAGGCTTAAGAGGCTGGTGCGAATCCAATGTTCATGATAATCGGCCGAGGCACAAGTGTAGCGACAGCTGAGCCTTGGGAGGCACTCTGGAACCCAGCACCAGTATTCGGTGAGCTGGCTAGGTGTCTCGATGAAGCATGCATCGGACCCTGACCCTTCGAGAGATGACGTGACGAACTATTCCGTTCGTTCAATCTACTCCGTAATCTAAACCTCCATATTGCATGGATCTAGAAAAAACTAAATTAATCTCTGCATTTAAGAGACTCTAAGAACAGTAGAGGATCTGTAGTATACTCTATAGCTTAGGGTTTGATGACTCTCGGCCCCTGGTCCCCCACAAGGCACCATCCTCTCCTGGCTTATGTATCTTCGCCCAGTCGAGGCCGTCCAATTCCCATTCTTCCGCCCTTTTGAGCCCCAGCTGCTCCCAGACATAATCTAGCGCAAACAACAGCTCCTCTTGCATTTCCTTCGTATGCCCCGGCGTTGGGGTAACACGCAGTCTCTCCTGCCCCAGCGGTACGGTGGGGTAATTGATTGGCTGGATATATATCCCGAAGTTGGACAACAGGATGTCGCTCGCTTTCTTTGCATCCCTCGCATCGCCAACCAGGATAGGAACAATATGGGACGGGTTCGACATAACCGGAAGACCCTTCTCGACAAGACCGTTTTTGACCATTCGGGTATGCTCGTGCTGTAGGTCCCGTCGCTGCCCGTCTGACTGTAGCAGTTTGATGGCTTCATTGGCACCTGCCATGATGGCTGGTGGTAACGAAGTCGTGAAGATGAAGCCCGGCGCGTATGAACGGATCATATCGACCAGCATAGCTCGTCCAGCAATATAACCCCCAGAGCACCCATAGGCCTTTCCAAGAGTTCCCGTGATGATGTCAACCTGGTCAAGGACTGTTCCTTCGTGGTGCCCGTCGACATGGGCATCCCAATCTAGATGTTCTGCCACTCCGGCGCCGGTGGGGCCGTACATGCCAACAGCGTGGACTTCATCCAGGAATGTTATGGCATTGTACTTGCGTGCGAGAGCGCAGATTTCTCGCACAGGTCCGATACTCCCACTCATTGAATAGACTGACTCGAAAGCGATGATCTTGGGTGCGTCGATAGGGACAGACGACAGCTTGGCTTCCAGATCAGCAAGATCATTATGCTGGAATATCACTTTGTTCGCTCGGGAATGCCTGATCCCCTCGATCATAGACGCATGGTTTGCACTGTCAGAGAAGATGGTACACCCCGGCAACTTTGATCCCAAGATCGTGAGTGTTGCATCATTAGCTACAAAGCAAGATGTAAAGACCAACGCAGCCTCTTTGCGATGCAGCTGGGCGAGCGTCTTTTCAAGCTCGACTGCATGTTTATTGTGCCCTGAAATGTTCCTTGTCCCTCCCGCCCCGGCGCCGTATTTGTCTAGGGTTTGATGCATGGTCGCGAGAACCTTTGGGTGGCTCCCGACGCCGAGATAGTCGTTGGAGCACCATACGGTGATAGTTTCGTTTGAATCCCTGGTGTGTGCTTGGGGGAAGCTACTTGCGAGGCGGTTGATATTGTTGAAGATGCGGTATGAGCCATCGCGCTTTTTTTGCTCGATCTGACTCTCGAAAAATTCCTGATAGTTGAACCGCGGTTCATGGGGGCGCATCTGATGTCGAACATGCCCTGGATCGTGAGTTAGTAAAATGACAAATTGGCCCACTACCTCCTCTCACGTACCAGCCTGGCCACCGATACTATGGAGCCCTCGGTGGAGTTTTGGAAAAATAGACGAAGACCTCATGAAAGTTGCAGCAGGGCGGTGCGCCATGGTCAGCTCTGTACACACCAGACGTTGACTCATATCTCTGCTTCTGAGTCGCTGAGCGAGAGGAGGTCCAAGTCATGCGAGATAAAAGCGATAAGATATGAAAACCCCAGTGGCAGACCTGTTGTATAGAGGTAAGACTGGCATGCTTCGACTAATGGGGCCAAATATATTAGTAGAAGGTGGACCCTTTAAGGTCTCAGCCCCCCAGGATATACTAATGGCACACATACGCAGTACACAACAGATGAAATATTAGTAATGCTCTTTACCTCATAATTTACTAATAAATGTGTATATTACTACATCTTAGTACCCTGCTGGGTGGAGCATGATGTTTTCCTAGCCACAGCAGGCTGCAAGACAGAGTCGCCGCGCTTTCGATGCGTCTTTTATTTGAAGAACTGCCCATTCTTGGTTCAGAGATGAAGCATACGAGTCCGCCGCATCGAAAAAAAATCAATCAATCTAGTACCAGTTGCAAAAGCACACATTATACTCCAATATGCCGTCCATTGAATCTCAAGCACTCGGCCGACTCTACGAATCTAAAGCCAGCCGCATGAAGGCCAACCCAAATCTGGACCGCGCTACGATTCTCTCCCTCTACGAAGAAGAGCAGAGCTGCGCAGCTGAGGCTCCGGGCGTCACCTACGAAGATGTCAACGTCAGAGGACGACCAGGCATCTGGGCTGCCCCGGTCAGCCTCCTGTCGCAGTCCAACGAGAACCAACAGTCCGTCATCATATATATTCACGGCGGGGGATTCAGTCTGGGATCTCCAAACAGCCACCGCAAGCTCGCCGCGCACCTCGGCCGGGCTGCCAACGCGAACGTGCTGATCCTCGATTATCGTCTGGCCCCGGAACATCCCTTCCCCGCGGCTCTGGATGATCTCCTTGCTGCTTACGAGTGGCTTCTACAGGAGCGTGGATTCCCCGCACACAAGATCGTGACCGCAGGAGATTCTGCTGGAGGGAACTTGGCCACGGCACTGGTTCTGAGGATCAAGCAGGAGGAAGCAGGCCGACTCCCTTTACCTGCAGCCATTGCAGCATTCTCCCCATGGTATAATCTGCTGAACAACTTTGACTCCATGGCACGAAACGATAAATTCGATAAGTTGGTTCATCAGCCGCAGCTGGATCAATTGGCCGCGGCGTATGTTGCCGGCACGGGGGCCTCGCTGCGCGATCCTTTGGTTAATCCTATTTATGCGGACCTGAAGGGTCTGCCACCGGTATACATTGCGGTTGGGACGCATGAAACCTTGCAGGATGACAGCGAGCGGTTTGCGGAGCTGGCTAGGAAGGCGGGCGTGGAGGTGGAATTGGAATTGGCAGAAGAACAGCAGCATGTTCATGTCTTCATGGCAGGTCGGGCCGCTGAGGCTGATATCACAATCCAGAATGTTGGGAGATGGCTGCAGCAAAAACTCTCCTCGATCTGATTTTCCAGCATCCGAATGTTTTGTCAATTGTAGACGAATGATTATCATCAATTCAAGTACCAAGAAATTATCCCTGCTCTCTCAAGGTGGCCCCTGCAGCACCCCCCTAAGTGTGAGTCTGACGTTATGACCTGCTCCCGACGGGAGCCCCTGCGAGCGAGACAATTGGTTCGAAGAGATATAATAGGACTAGATAGCAAGTAGGACATGCATATACATTGGTAGGCTTTCGGCAAATCAAGGGGATCCATGTTCATAACGGGACACTTGGGATTGGCGGAGAATTGTACCTAGTCAACTGAACCTCAGAAATGACCTATATAAATCAACGTATGTATACCTTCAAAGAAAATGGGCTTTCAAGAAGTGGTGGCCCTTCCATCCTACTTAAGCTCTCATGGTTTCCCACGCGTAACTACAATCCCCCAACCACATTGTCAGATAACGGCATTTTTTCCCATCTCATCAACAATGAGCTCATAATCATTAATGCCCCAGCTGCAATAACGAGTCCATACAAGTCGCCTAAAGTGGAGACAATGGCTCCTACAGCCCGGGATCTTGTATCCAAGTCTCCATCGTGCAGAACACGAGACTGAACACCCGCAAGAGCAGTTCTTAAATCACTATTGGAGAATCCCGAGCCTGCAAGCGCGTGCTGCAATCTGTCGTACCCGAGATTCTGGAAAATACACCCAGCGACCGCGAGAGCAATCGTCGTGGAACCGATCTGTGAAACGTTCTGGAAGCGGATGACTTGGGCCGTTCGCGACGGAGGCACATAGGCTGCGGCTACGGCGTACCCGATCTGTAGGGTGCAGCCAGATCCTGCTCCGATCAGAACCTCATAGCCGTATATGGCGCTCGTTGAGGTTGTGCTGGTGACCGTATACATGAGAGCGCTGCCAATAACAATACATATGCCACTGATAAGGTACCAGAGCTTATAGTAGCGAAAGCGAGGGAGCAGAGCGCCGGCGGCGATATTGAAGACAATATTAACGATGACGAATGGCAGAAGCCTGACTGCTGCCACCATGCTCTCTTCTCCCTTGGTGAATTGGAAAAAGAGCGGAATGTAGTAGACTGGCACAAAGAATGCGGTAATCGACGTTGCCGTACCAAGGTAGAGCAATACTTGGGTTCGGCTTTGGAGGAAATCAAGAGGAAGGATACGATTCTCTTTTGTCGTCATGAGACACCACGTCTGCTGTACAGCATATAATATAGCGGCTATCCCTGCTGCCACCCAAAGAATGATGCCCCCCACAGAAGACCAATTCCAGACTGTCCCAGACTGAGCAATAGCAACTGTAAGAATGGAGAAGAACGCAGCGTGGAGCACGAACCCGGCCCAGTCGATGGACTTGGACCTTTGCGCAAAAGAGAGCCCTGGCTTCAAGTCCAGTGACGGGAAGCGATAGAGAAATAATGGCAGCTCTAGTACTGCAATGACTAGGTTAATATAGAAGGCCCAGCGCCAGGTTGCTCTGCTTGCGGCGAACCCGCTTCCCACCACAGGGCCGACGATACAGCCCAATCCCCAGAATCCACCCACTAGGGACACGTAAAGGCCTCGCTTCTCCACATCTGTAAAGCCGGAGACATAGTTGAGAGTTCTATAGAAAGTGTCATTAGTTTCGCTTGGACATGAGACGCAAGAGAAGCATGGCGCACCCAATATACATGCCGCCGCCACCAACCCCCGTTAGCACTCGACCCACTATCATAGCCTCCATGTTTGGTGCGCGCCGCAGATGGCACTGCCGATTTCGAAGAGAGCGATTGTGCAAAAATAGAGCCATTTCATTTGAAACGTCCCGTAGCATTGGCCAAACAAGACCAGAGTAGCCACGGACCCCATCGGAAATCCAACGCCCACCCAGGACAGCTTGTCGATCTCGCCTACAGCCTGGTATATCTCGCCCTGAATCGAGGCTGCAATGGTAGTATCGAGCCCTACAAACCTACTGTTAGTAATAAGTTTCCATGTGCACAATCCCGCGCTGAAGAGTTGGAACAATGTGGTTTGGAAGCCGCACCGTATAAGAACCCCGTCAAATAGAATGCAATGCAAGCGAGAAACCACCTCGTCTTGCCTATTTGTGTTCCGGTCGTGTTGTCCTGAGCAACATTGCTGTCATCCATTATCGATATTTCTGCCTGGATCGGAGATTGATTGTAATTCGGATTGCTAGCGAGAGCGCTCTTGTCTTTGGTGTCTCTGTTGGAAGTTTGCATCGAGACTGGAACGCATCATTTTATCAGTCATATATGCTACTACGCTGCCGAGGCCAGCCCTAAAACCACGTCGCTAGTGGTAGCATACAATTGAAAAACGCAAACACTGCAAATGGGACAAACTTGGCCCCTATGCATTAGTGCTCACTGGATATCCGCCGATCTTGTTTACCCCCTGGTCATTACTACCTCAAAGAGATCCACTGGGGTTTCACTCGGCCGAAGTTAGCCATCGATCTGGTCTACGCCAGTCGGATTACACCCAAAAGAGGTGCAAATTGACGCCCGGGTTAGTTCCTGGCGTTTCGCTCCGACCCGTGGAATCCAGGCCAACTATAACCCTGCAGGGATCGACAGCGGCAAACCAAACACACGTAAGCCTTCGCTACTCTATAGACTTGCTACATACAACGTACTATGTGCTGCTCTAGCTTTTGCGAATTATTACTCGGTATGGCGTAGCTCACGTGTAGCTTCCTTCGTTCACATGCAGCTTCCTTCATGATATTCCTCGGGCGAGTAGGTTCCTGGCCAGATGCTTCCGTAGCATTGCTGCGGCTTATTTAAAGGCCATACACAGAGAGTCGCAGTACGGGACTAAAGCAGCGCACATATATCATCGTTAACAAGTATGGAGGGGCCGAGCAGTGCCGACCCCATGGACATAACGGAGAAGAAAAGGATACAGAACCGGATGGCACAACAGAAATACCGTAAGCTGTTCACGGTCAGATATCCACCACTCCGCCTCTGCCCTTCACTTACAGAGCTTCAAATCTACAGGTAAACGACTCAAGGAGAGAATCCGGGAATTGGAAGAGCTCAAGAAGCACATTGGCGACTTTTCCGAACTCAAAGACCATGTCGACGCAGCTTACTCGCCCCCTTCCACGAACATCCAGACTGGGGCATATGCGACAGAAAGCACAAGCATTGGTCTGCTACCAGATCAGGAAATCAGCGCTCCGGAATCAGACAATTGCCTGTGGGCCTTGAACTGCCCGCCGATCAGTCCTGCCCAGTTAGACAACCACCCCGGAGTCTCACCAAGCTCGTCCCTTGATTTTTTGTCTTCAACGTTTGAACATCTTGATTATTCCTCATCTTCGCTGTCAAGTGAGCCCCAACCACATGTAAGTTCATGCGCACATGTGGCCCGTCAATGGCCCTGCGCGCTTTCTGCGTCATCGCCCAGAGTATCAAGTTCATCGGCTCCGCACCAGGCGACGCGGGATACTCAATTCGTCAGTCCCGAGGACCATCCCTCCCCGGGGGCCAGCTGTGAGGAGCGATTTATCCACATTCTCGACAGCATACACCAAGCAGGGTATGAGAGCATCGAGAAAAGTAAGTTTGCCGCATTCTCCAACCAGGACGGGCGTCCGAAGTAGATGATCCTTTGAGGCGACGCCCTTCCCAGTGTTCCTCGACTGATGACCGTCTACTAGTGATGATTGAGTACTATACGGCGAGCTTCAAAGCCGACAGCGTGGCTCACTGGTCGCAGAAATTGAGTCGTAGATATCGCCTGTGCGGGATGTTAGAGGACATCTATGACAACTCGCAGGCTTGGCCGGAGGATGAGAGGATGGTGTTTCGCAAGGCTCTCGCATGTATTGCTGTACGTGAGCGGACTGCTAAGACTCAATGTACGCACATGCTGAGCACTACTTTCTGAATCAAGATACTTAGTAAAAAGTAATTTTGTCAGGGGGGAGTGATTATTATCTTAAGTGAACTAGATTGTAAAGTTTAACTAGGTATTGTATGTCCATATTCGGTTCGATTCCCAGAACAGATCGAACTTAGCAAACAGACTAGTATCAATCTCGATAACAGTACTTTCTAAAGCATGTATCACACGCTCGTGGCAACTTGGAATCGGTCTTTCTGAGAATAGCACAACCCAAGCATGAGGCCCAAGCCTCGTCACCATTCTGCGTGGCCACTGCCATGCCATTTTCGATCATTCTCCGAGTCTCTATTTTCGAGTATTGGAGTTTTGAGGTGGCCATATTGCTCATGTACGTTTGAGCGTTATTTGGCAGGTAGACAATGGTGATTTTATCAGCTTCGTCACATCCGAAGATCGTTGCGCGCTTGTTCAGGCCTTTTTTGATAAAAGTGGCGACCTCTGGGATGTAAGGCATGCGGGTCAAGCCCTGGTTGAAGGACTGCGTGTAGGTCGTCAAGATCTCAGTGCCGTTTGGCCAGTTGTCGTTGGTATCAGCACTGTTGTCGTTGACGAAAATCACGTCGACGCCGCGAGCTGGCTGCAACATGGGCCATATGGGGTTGTTCTGCAGTGCTTCGCCTCCGTCCACAAGGTGCAGTTTCTCCTGTTCCGTAATCAGATTCGCCGTGTTCAGCTCCATGGTGGCTGACTTGTAGCCTTTGAATGGGTTGGAAAACACTGCAAAGAAATCTTCGGTGGTTGTTTCATGTACGTCGACTAGGAGTGATTGCACCTTGGTCATGAGTTCAGTGGTCAGGAGGGAACTCTTGGGCATAGATCCGGCGGCGTAGTTGAAGACATTCGAGGAAACTGCGAGGACGTATCCGATATTGTCGTAGTCTGTCACGCAGCCACTGTTGTTGGATGGGTTGCCGCTTGTGATGGATGTGCCCAGGTACTTTGTCTGGACAAAAGCGCTCACGTCGCTGTCCCACGAGCCAAATTCAAAAGGACTGAACTCGTATATTGTCGCGTTGGGACCTGGACGGCTCTCCCCGTTGAACGTCTTCACGCCTAGGCTAACTATCATGGGGAAGGGTACAGCATGGTCTGAGAAGTTGGATAGGGTTGCCACGGACGAAAACGTGAGGTTCGCGCCATAAGCTGGGCCTGGGAAGAATTGATAGGAGAGCAAACGGCCGTATGGGTCGGTGAGGGTAGTGTCAAAACCAGCCGTATTCTTTGCAGCCACGTCGGCGACAATCTGCTTGTAGATCTCAGGCGCATTTCCATTTTCCGGGGTCAGAAGCCCGTTCTGAAAGGTCTCTTCCCAAAGATCTTCCCGCAGCTTCGAAATGGTCGGGTAGTTGTTCCCGGCAAAGGAAGATAGCAGCCAGCCACCTCCAGAGAGGCCAGCCTGATAGGACAATGCCTGGAATAGACCACTTAAGCTTCCATTGCTGTCCCTTTCATCCATGGCTTGGATGACACCCGCTCCAGTAAGCATGGATCTGTAACCTCCACCACTTGTAGTCAATCCAATCTAGGCTTATACACCCTCTTAGTAATATGCTCCGATTTTATCTTCACGTTGTAAACGCTATAATACTAGGCAAATTCAGGCACTCACCGTTGGTAACTTGACGCCCTCAACGTCAAACTGGTTGCTCGTTCTGGACAACCAATTAATCAAAGCAGCATCCGCTTTGCTCTTCCGCTTCTCAAGAAACTTGAGTTCGTCAGTGCTGAGGCCTGATGCATCTCTGACAAGACTCATGGACGGACAAGCCGTATATTTCGGTGTTGTGCATTCTGCACCGGAGAGGAGAAGAATCGTGCCCAAAAATAAATATTCGGTAGTGAATCTCATTTTGGGGATACCCCTTTGCTGATATTGCAGGCAGGAACTGAGAAACTGTCTGTTTTCGACGAAATGAACACCCCTTCACTGCCTTCGCTATACTACCCTTTTATATAAAGGCGTAACTACCTAGTCCCTGCCAAGCCACGGGCAAGACTCATTACGCGGCATGAGGCTTTCTTTCACAGCAATAGGATGAGATGCCGTGCCCGCTGTGATCGGCCGCGTAGAGATGATCATTATGAGCAGCTAATGGCCACACGTGGTTGGGTATTGTCTCATGGTTCGTGAAGAAATGCTGTGGAGAGCCCCAGTCCACTAATTCCAGATCAAAGAAGAGGTTCGTTGCTATCCACTTTTGCTTCCTGGTAGACTACGAGCCATTTGCTACTGGCTGGAAACAGCCCAATAAGTTGAGATTCGGGAGCCGGGACATCCGGGAGTTAGAGCAACTGAGGAAGCATGCTATACACTAAAGTCTGGCAAGCCGATAATATACGGGCTCATCGGGAGAATCTCAGGCAGAAGGAGGAAGTTTCGGAGAAGGTTCCGCCATCTTCCACTAACGTTCTCTCGGAACTATTCCAGGGTACTCACGGGAACGGTCCGGCTTGGATTCTCTGCAATGTGGTACTTAGTGAAGGACCGCAGTTGGATCCTATGCGGACCGGGACAGACCCGAACTTCTGACGTATCCTCAAATTTCCATCACGGAGCGATCCCGGGGCGGACATGGCTCTAGTACACATCACTCCTCCGTCTTGCGAGGTCAATTCCTCTCTCAATCACGCGACACCGACGGGATTCCGGCCGGTATGGGGATTTTAACATGCTGCAGCGATCTCCAGGATTGTATGGCTGAACTGTCGGGGTACACCCGTAACTCTTGTACGTAAACGCCGACCTAAAGATAGTTCAGTCTACAAAGTAATCTATAGGGTTGTCATTCAGGGTGGATTCTTTCCAAGCGACTAAGCAAGGATGGTAACTGCTCGCCCCGTTTTATTCTTGTCGGGAAATCAAATTCAACCAATTCCCGACTCTGATTTCCTGTGTGGCGATATCTGCAGTCGACTGATGTAGACTGTTCTGAGCGTGATTTTGCACCATTTGGATGGTTGCTTAAGGATGCACACTGATATCAGAGATTCTTTCCGGCGCCCTTGACTCTTCTAGAACCACCTGACGTACCGAATAGAGCTAATATTGGAAGATGCACTTCAGATCCCGACATGTTCCCGAATGTCTCGTCTGAAAACTTTTGTCGACACCAACACCGACGGTTGTCCAGGGTCACATCGTTTCATATGGGCTGATTTTTAATGCGTATAGAATCTCAAAGATAACGAACATGACAGTCCGCAGCACATA